ATCCATCTTTCCTGCCACAGGCCAGCTTCACCAGGGGAAGCAAATCACAGAAAAAGTCATCAATGATGTTATCCTTGCAGAAATTAAAGGAAAATGTTCTTTTGGTGATGACAGAAGAGTTAATAAACCCACCAAGATATGAGGCTGTGACCAAAATTACACACAGCTTCATGGACATGGCCTGAGCATAAAGCAGGGGCTTGGAAATGGCCACATAACGGTCATAAGCCATTGCCGCCAGCAGGTAGCACTCACTATAACCCAGCCCCGCAGAGAAGAAGAACTGACACAGGCAGCCAGCAAAGGAGATGCTTTTGTCTTCAGAGATGCAGGTCACTAGAATCTTCGGAGTGTAGACGGAAGAATACCAGAAATCAAGAAAAGACAGATTTCCAAGGAAAAAATACATGGGTGTGTGAAGATGGGAGTTGTTATGGATCAACACTATGAGGGTGCTATTTCCGAGCAGGGTCAGTGAGTACACCCCAAGGAACACCCCAAACAGGACCATCTGCATCACTGGATCTGTGGTGAAGCCCAGAAGGATGAACTCATTCACAGTGTGGTTGCTTCCCTCCATGGCTGTGGGAATCTCACCTAGGAGAAGAGGCAATAAGAGCTCAGTTGGAATCACTGTGTTGAATAGACAGAATGTATCCTCATCAATACCACATCTCCAGCAGGCCTAGAGTCTAGGAACACCAATCTAAACAGGTGTTAGAAAGAGTTTCCATTTTGTGACAATATCTTGAACTTTACAATCATATATTTGATTACAAATTTATCAAATTGCTTAATAATGCTTTTTCTTTAGACATGAATTTTTGACTACAAAAAAGATCGACCAACGATTTCTGTTTTTCTCATGCTTTGATCCTCTTCCTCTTGTCAATTTTCTTTTATGCAAAATATGTCAATGTTTAGCATGAAGTGTTAACTTTTTTGTATTTGAAATACTGAATTTTCCCTGTTAAAATATATTTTTGAAAGAAGCAAGTATTTTTGTACTGTTTTCTATGGGATAAAACCCCACATACTGTGTGCTCACTTTAATCTCCAGAAGCAGGCAGAAGACTTTTGTGGAATGCAACTCTGTCGAGAGTCGAAGACCTGGTTACCTTGGTCAACATAGAACAGGGCCTGTAGGTTTGGGCCTAAAAACCCACTTTCAGTGACTCTGGCTATGTGGCTATTAAGTCTACAAGGAAAGGGCTAAAAAAGCCTTCTTGCAGAGACGCAGCCTAGAGGTTGATAGGTGTGATTGCATATTGGAAAACAACATGGCCTCCTGGTTGCCTAGAAACAAGAGCCATAAATCTTCTTTCTGCAATATAATGAGTGCATAGTAAAACTCCAAAGCTTTTCTCCCCTCTTGGTAATCTCAAGTCTCTAGATGTATTCCCTTTTGCAGCTGTCTCAAGGTTTCAAGATTTGTGTCTTTTTGAAGGTTGAACTAACTTTAGAAAAGATTAGTAATAAGAACGCTTTGCTTGTTAATTAATAGAGTGTACATGACCAGCCAACTATAAAATTTGTCAGGAACAATAAAGCTTTGCTACTTGCCAGAAATGAGTGGGTAGTCTATCTCTATCATAATAATAATTCCGGGGCAAGTTTACACCTGTGGTGAAGCTGCCTGTCCCTTGCAAAACCCTCATACAACAGTTTTCATATACTGAAACACCATGATGGCCTTGTCAATTCATATCTTACAATATTGTGTATAGGCCTAAAAAATTACCCAGGAAAGTATAAGGTGAAAATGATAGATACAAAGTTTTGGCAAAGAATATGTATTGTAAAATAATATACAATGATGGAATTATAAGGTACATAATATTTACTATGGTTTACATAGATTGTACCATAAAAATAATACCATATAATGATACTTTTCAAAGGCAATTTTCAATATAAGTAATTTGTGTATACTACCTAATGTCGTACTGAAAACACATGAATTCATCTAATTTTTTTATGTTTATAATTTTATTAAGAATTTCTTCTTTAATGATAACAATTAGGAAAAAAAAAAAAAGTAGATGATGAGTATGAAACAGTATTCCATGCTGTCACTCAGAAATCCTCCCAGTCTCTTCAAGAAGCTCTACACAAATAACTAGAAATATTCCACTGAAACAGGGAGACAAGAATAGATTTGGCAGATACATATCTATCTTACAATTCCATTCACACTAACTTCTCATCAGCCTAAGTCATTTTGTAGATAAACAAATAAAAATGTCACTTTATTAAGGTTTTCATTTCTATGCTCATCCTCCTGGGAGCTAGGCAAACACTCAGTTGATAACCAGCTGTCAATACATTTCACCATTAATAAATAATTTTATTTCTGCATGAAATTTGGAACAATATTCAATTGTGTCAGGTGTCTCCAGTGAATGCTCAGTGGCTTCACCTGGCTAACTCCAGTGATTGAGTCCTCATCAGATTTGATCTATCTGGGTCATTTGTTATAGCTCCTCTCTCATTTTCCTGGAAAATAAATCTCTTTATTTGTTTTCAGGTTGTCGTTCTGCCTCAGTTTTTTCTACTTCTGTTGCTGCATATGCCTCAGGGTTCTTGTCCCAACTTTGGACTTGTGAAGTGCCCCCAGAAACAACTCTGGAACTCCCTGTCTTCTCCATCCCCTGTCATTTCCTGGTGATCTCACCCAGCCTGCTGACTCTCTCTCTGCATATGAATTGGATGTAATGTCACATCTCCTGACCATGGAGTTCTTCCCTAAACTCCAGATGCATAAATTCTAATGCCTACTTAACATCTTTTATGTGATGTCTACTGGGCATCTCAAGAAAAACTCTGACAATCCTTTCTAAATCTTTTCCTATTTTAGTCTTCTCAGTTCTGGTAAATGACATTATTTCACATTAGGAAACATCATTTAATATTATTATTGACTCCTCTCTTGTTTTCTCACTGTTTCTATTTAATTAGGAACATCTTTTAGAATATATCCAGAGTATCATCATTTTTCCTTAGTTCTACTGTTTCTACCCCAGAGGAGGCCATGAGTACCTGCCACCTGCATTGCTGTGGGAGCCTCTGTGTTTTTGCTCTTAGTTTACCTGAGTCTCCCACATGGCAGCCAGAGTTGTCCTGTAAAAAGGCCAGTCAGATCATGTTACCTTTCTGCTCTAAATACTCCAATAATTTATTCAGAGTAACTGCAGAACTTCTTGCAAAGATGTGCATGGTCAGTGTGATCTTGCCTTCATTTCTTTTCTGCTCCCAACAGTGCCTGCTGTACAGAATGTATTCGAGAAAACAGTAACAGTGAGTTTAGATGAGAACACACAGAATTTCTTGGGGTAGGCTCAGAATGTTGTTGTAATTGGAATTGATAATTTTTAAAAGATTTTTCTGGATACATAGTATTTTAACACATTGGAGACCTTGCTAATTCTCTATACTGCTCTGCCCAGGGCAAGCTAATTCCTAGATATTAAAATCAGCATGGTTGCCAACAAGAGTATGCCTTTATATGGAAAACAACCATATCTTATTCCTGCATACAATAAAACAACATTTTCCCTGCCCTGAATCACTCCAGGGCCACATACCTGACAACTGGAGACCACACTATAGTCCAGAGCTTGTAGAAAATATTCAAATTATTCAACCCCAAATGTGGTCCAGCTTACCTACCCTGCCTTTTCCATTCCTTCACATAGAAACTACAATAAAGGGATTAGGTTTTTTTTTTTGTCTGCCTTGGGACAAATCATTTTTTAATTCCCATGTGGTCCTATGCGATACGCCCTCCCTTTTTACTATAAGTAATGAACATTTTTTTTTTACTAAGGTAGCTATCTCTGTGTCTGTCACTTTGCCATTAATACCATTTGGAGATAATGGCATATATCTGACCAATATTAAGAAACTTGAAATTTCAGGTGATGTGGTAAAAATAAGGTGGGGTTAGGGGAAGCAGCTAGCATGGTCCAAATCATTGCATGCATAGCCAACTTGAATAATGAATGCATAAAGAGTCTACTGTACCCTGCTCTGTGATCAGAACACGTACCTATAACACTCATAGTTCTACAATGAAATCGAAACTGTAGACACTGGGGACATTAATGTTGTCACTGAGCTCACTCTCTGTATTATATTTCTGAGGTAACTGAGGGATTCATGGCTTATATCATTTCTGGGAAACCCAGTTCATCCACAAAGTCATTGATTGGATCAGATTGGGTTTAATTCTTGTTAATGTAATCACGAATAATGAAATGAAGGTGGAGAAAGAGGAAAAATGAGAGAAGATATATGGGTCTTAAGCTAGGCACTATACTAAATAATTTATATACATATTTTCTAGGGTTCATTAGAATTATGAGGTGAATGTATGCTATGGACTGAATTGTATCCTTCCCAAATTTACATGTCGAAGTCCTAACTCCCAATGTGACTGTACATGCTGCTCAAGGAAGGTAATTAAGGTTAAATGAGGCCATAGGAATGGGATCTTGATCCTCCAAGATTGGTGGTCTTATTAGAAGAGAATAATCTCTTCCTTTCCCTATCATGTGAGGACATAGTGAGAAGGTGGCAATCTGCAGGAAGAGGATATCCCCACAACTCAACCTTTCTGACAACCTGGTCTTGAACTTCCAGCCTCCAGAACTACAAGAAATAAATTTCTGTTGTTGAAGTCACCAGTTTATGATCAATAAGATAATGAAAGAGGAAGAATAGGTAAATAAGGCTGCTTTGCAAGGAAGAAGGCATTTATTTCTCAGAGTCTCTTGGTTAGCAGTGCTTATATTCCCTGCAAGCACTTACACACACACACAAACACATGCTTCATTTATAGATCATTTTTATCTATTTTGTACAACAAAATATTTTATACTCAAAATATTTGTATTCACTGTTCATTCATTCTGCTTATAATTTTCTTTTAGCCCCTTTACTTGTTCAAAAATACACCTTCTCTGTGTGGTCTTCTCTAAACACCCTCATCATCCACCGCCTCCCCCCCATAGTCTGTACTCTTTCCCTGACTTATTCTTCTCCAGAGCGCTGGCCCTTTGGCTCACTGAGTAATTGACTTATTTTTCTAATTTGCTGTCTATTCCTACCCACTAGGATGCCACTTCAAGAGGGCATGTTTTGTAGCTTATTTTGTTCCCTCTGGATGTGACTGCTTAAAATAATATCTGGGACAGTGTAAGCAGAAATAATATTGATGTAAGAATGGGCTGCTGTATTCTCAAGATGCATGTCAACCAAACCCACATTCTTGTCTGCTTTAATGATGGCATTTATGCCTTAAAAGAATTGTTCATTTTTCCACATTGCTTGCCATATCCAGACATCACTATCTTTCATTATCCCATGTTTCTTGACTTATCCAGACATCTCTGACTATCCTGTGCTCTTCATAATCAGGTGCAAGAAAAACAAGGAAGGAATAGCCACAGAATACACAGTTGACCACTGAAATCTATAAGCAAATCATATTTGAAAATAAAATGTGTTTGTGAAGGAGGTTAGGTCCATGTGAGCAGCAAATTGAATTCCATGTTGAAGAGCTCTTGGGAACCACATCTC